TTTGTCAGAATCCCACATATACAATGTAATTCGTTTTTCAAAACTACCGCCAAAATCCATAAATCATAAAAAAAACACCATAAACTTAAGGTTGATGAAAAACTCTTAAACCTAAAATTTCTTGTACTTTTTTTAATAACAAAAAAGGTTTTTATAGCATTTTAGGATATATTTCTATTAAAAAAGCATATAATGTCTAATTAAGACACTAACCTTGAGGAACAGAAAGAGATGACGTAATCAGTGCCGGAACAAGTAAAGATACTTGTGGGATCATCATAAGCATAACTATAAGAAGTAGGACAAGCTTGCTTAAATATGTTCGAATAATAAGTTGGTCGACACGTAGAAGGATTCCCAAAAACTCCTCTACAACAATACTCATCTCTATCAAACACATCACAAGCACTCCTACAAGCAATCACTTTCCCATTTGATTTCACAGCGAGTTCTAGCGGACACCGTGGCCTTAAATCGGCGACGCAGCCGGCGACACTACAGTTTCCTTTTCCGTTCATCGGAGTCACCGACATGGGAAGATTGAATCCGTCGACGAGGCTCACATCGTAGAAATCCAATGCGGCTAATGTGAATTCAGCGAGTGAAGCCGGTGGTTTTCCGGAGGCTGAGCATTTTAGTGTTGAACCGCATGAACCGGTTTCGCATGTTCCGGTTCCGGTTTTGTCGAAATTGCAACCGGTTCGTCCCCATATTCGACCTGACCAGCCTACTGGTGCGTTGAATACGATTGATTGGCCTGGTTTGAGCTCGAATCCTCCGCCGTTGAAGTTTTCTCCGGGAGTTATCGCCGGCCAGACTATTTGGTTGCATGAGTTCACGATCGTGAATACTCGAGCTGATTCTGACCATTTTGTTCCTGCATGTGGATTCACATTAGTTATTCAAATTATAACCCTAATATATTAATAGATAAACATTACACAATTTTTGTTTGGTACACAACGTTACACATTTTCTTGAATATTATGCAATACGCCAACTAATAATCATTTTGGAATGTACTAACTGCGTATGTAATCTTATCTTGATTTATAAAAAAATTAACTGTTTAAAAAGGTTGGCCCAAAAACAAAATTTATCGTGATATGATATAATGCTTGAATATTATGATCAAATTTTCTTTATATGATGTGATGTTTGAATAATTACCTGATAAGAACGTGAGAAAGAGTAACAAAATCCTTGGTGACACACCGAAACGAATTGGCATCTTCACTGGATAAAGATTTGACGATCAAAATATCCTTATTTTTGGGCCCCGGTATGGTTCGGTTTACGGATGATTATTGAAGTGAGATTGCCTTTTTTAAGGGAGGAAAAAAGAATAACTTGCATGGAGAGTCTATATGTCAAATTATAGTAATCGTTTAAATTGTACTGTAAAACCCAAAACAAGTTGCTTTGTGTGTTTTCAAATAAGGTTCCTTGTTTTGGAATTCGGGAAAAGTTATGTGTTATTATTCCTTTCCTGATGCTTCACATGCAAGTATTCTTTGAGATGGGTTTTTGGCCAAGGTAATCAAGTCCCAAAGGTTTAAGGTTGGGATATACACATACTTATAAATGTAATATATGTACATATTATTAAGTATATAATTGTTGGCTTTAAATTTTAACAGTCTAATTAATTTTCTTTTAGTATGCTTGCAGAATTGGATAATTTACTTGATCTGTTTGCATATTATCTTGACTAGGTGAGTACCCGCGCTACGCGCGGATTTGAGTGTAAGGTAATTTTGTGTGAAGGTACTTTGTGATAGTGTATAGTTTTGTGAGTCATTAATATATATTTAAATATTGTTCTATGTTTGCCATCTAATTTGGCTTGCCATTTATGTGATTTCAATATGTANGAGGTTAAATTTTTTTTTTCGTAGCATTTTATGCTTTTCTCTGGTTATGCTTACTATTGAAGTGGTTTTTGGTGTGTATTGTATATGGTATATGTAAGTTAGTGGTGGTTGGTTTGGTGTGTGCAGGTATACTTGTACTTTCTCCGTTCCATCAAGAATGATATTTTGAATTTTTTTTTTTGTTTAAGAAATAATGATGTTTTAAATTATTAAATGATATTATTTACAAACTTGAAGAAACATTAATTAAAAG